CCTAGGTTTCTATCACAAACAATTGCTCTATTGCAGTTTCATATTAATGTGATATATAAATTGTAAAATGGTCATTACTCTCTTATTATGGTTAATAGTCATATAAACATTGTTATTAAAATATCACATAAGTTGCTTTCTGATAAATTTAGACGCATTATGCGAAATAAAATGTTTTGCAAACGCTCCAATCACTTATCGACATGTAAACGCACTAAACCGATTTCGCAGCGTTGACACATTGTCACCTTGAAACTTATTTAAACTGGGAACTGACATTTGTATTAATTTTGACACTGAATCAATTTGTGGCATTTCAAATCTTTATAAATCCTTTGGCCCCGCATACTGTAAATCAACAACTGTTTGTTTCAAAACAAAATTATTCATTTTACGAGTAGATAAAGGCAATTTTGGTATATAAAGATGCCCAAACAGTTAAATAGTCGGTGTAAGGAACTCGTGGCCTCGTTAATGCACTACTTTGAGCAAGAAAGGGACAACAACTAGCCTTTGTTGCCTTTAAATGCTGTTCAAGAGGTAGGTTACTAATAATTATATGTAATGTATATTAATAATAGTGAAATTTTATTTCATTTTTTGTAGCGTGTTGCAGCTGCTTTAAAAATTAGTTTAAGGACAGTTAGACGTATTTCCGAGGGTGTGAAAAGTGATGCAAATTTAGAATCGCCCAAGAAAAAGCGGAGTTATATTAAACGTGTAACCAACACAGCGACATTGGATACAAGTGCCATTCGAGAAGTGATCTATAATATGTATCACAAAAGTAAGATCTTATTATAATAACTTATCAGAAATTTGCATTAATTTGTTAACTAAATTATAATGTCATATTACACATGGTTTCAGAAGAACAAGTTACGGTACAAACTTTATGGTCTCGATTAAGAGATAGGGCATTATTTGATGGTAGTGCCACGTCTTTAAGGCGGTTGCTTAGAGATCTTGGATTTAAGTGGCTTAAGGACAATCCGCGACGAGGGCTCATGGAACTACCAAGTATAGCTTTGAAAAGGGTGGAATTTCTAAGGCAATACAATCAAGCCAAGGTTGAGGCCTTAAACCAGTTTGTCTTCCTCGATGAAACTTGGATATTTCAAAATGGGACCATAGGTCGCTCTTGGCAAAATGGAAACCAAAAAAGCGTGAAAGCTATTAAAACAGATGGTAAAAGGTATGTACTTTTACACAATTTGCACTATAAAATTTAAAACTAATATATTTTAGATACATTATATTACATGCTGGAAATGAAAATGGGTTTATTGAGGGTAGTGAAGCGATATTTTCTTCGAAAACAAAATTGAGCGATTACCATGGAGAGATGAACCAGGACAATTTTTTGAAATGGTTTCAACATCAGTTATTAGAAAAATTGGAGAGTCCATCTATGATTATACTGGATAACGCCCCTTATCACAGCATGATATTGAACAAAGTGCCCAACAATGCATGGACAAAAAAAAATATCCAAGACTGGTTGACAAATCAAAACATACCATTTTTAAACACAATGTTTAAAACAGAGCTATTGAGTATTGTTGCTCGGTACATAATGCTTCTTAATTATATATATTTTGGTCGACAGTTTATATTTCTTTTGTTTATTCCTATTCTTAAAATAACTGCTTTTTTAGAAACAAACCACCTAAAATATACGTGATTGATGAATTGGCGGAACAACATGGGCACAAAGTTCTTCGTCTGCCTCCTTACCATTGTATATTTAACCCTATTGAGTTAATTTGGGGCATAGCAAAAGGTTACTATAACAGACATATTGGTAGAGATGGTAACAGTGAAAAAGACTGTTTGGATATGTGGAACGAGGCTCTACAAACGGTTACCCCAGACATGTGGAAAAATAGTGTTCGACATACTGAGCAAGAAATTTTTAAATGGTATGAAAGAGAACGAATTTTTGATCGACCAGACATCGAACCTTTAATAATCAACTTTGAGAGTGATGAAGATTCAGATTCAGACAGCGCTGAAGAAAGAAACTCCGACTAACTTTATTGTACAGAAAAAGCTTACACCAGTAGCTTACCTAATTTTAGAATGCATTTTTCTGTATGAATTCTGTAAAATAAATACCATGCATAAAATTTGGAGGACCCCATTTGGATTTTTATTCAGTACCTTTAAGCTATCAATTAAATATGGTAGTTTCATAGTGTCATCTGATCAATAATTGTCATACTTAATGATTATGCAAGTACAGATCTATAATTTTATTATACTATTATTTTTGTTCTCATTTGAGGTTAATATTGCTTATAAACCTAGATTTGTAAATAATAAATTTTATTATTTTACAAAAAGTTTGGCAACAATGTAAATTTTTCAACACACCCACCTTGATGACGTGCACGCCACTTTGTTTGGCGTTGACTATACATGATCGCATATGCGACTATACTATATACGATGTGTTCATTGAATTTTATTGGACATTGAAAACTCGGAAAAGGCTAAAATATAAGTATTTCCCTACTTTTCATATTAAAAAAAGCGTTTTTGAATGCTAAAAATGCATTTATAAATGCAAAAAAGGCATTATTAAATGCCATTTTCAAATAAAGTTGATTCAAACTATCAAACAAAGAACAGAACATCCCCCAGAACAAGAAATACGCACAAATTCCAATCCAATCCCACAATATTATTCACAATCGACCTCAGAGTTTGTGTTAGAATGTTGGAGTTTGGAAAAAGAAAAAACAGGAGTAGAGATTTTTTCGCGAGATCCCGTAGTGAACCGGAGCGGGAACAGATGGAATTTCCCCTTCCTCTCGAAGTTTTGACAGTTTCAAGTTACACCGGGAGTGGTTAGATGGCGCAAGTTGTCCAAAATGTTTGCTTTAAGCACCTTGATAAACTTAGCAGATGCCTGTTTTTTTAAATGACATTGACATAAGACCTGTCACCCGCTAGTACCTCACAGACGTTAGGCGGGTACCCGTACCACGTGATTTTTTGACATTCGGACGACATCACATCCGTCTTCCCCTATTCCCGTTCTTCGCGAAAATTTGAGTATCGGTTCCCGGTAGTGCACTGTGCTACATCGTGGACTCGCGAAAAAATCCTTATTGACATTGACTTTTGACACTAAAAACATGACACATGGCAGCCGCATTTGGCGTACCGCGTAACACAATGGGGTGTGTTCGGATCATCGCTCGAAGTGCATAAAGCACGTTCAAACAACAAATCGAGCCTATTTGATTTGAATCATTGACATATCATGGAAGTAGAGTAAATAAAGGAACATGAAAAAAAAAACGATATATTGAATGAAAATTTCGATATATACCGATATATTGAAACAAATATATCGATTATAATATATCGAAATATTTTTAAAAAATATCGATTCATAAAAATAATCGATATATCGTTGCCATCCCTACCCGTCGGCGGCAGTCGGACCGGGCCAGTCCGAATCACACGTCCGAATCGCCCGAATCAGGCAGCGCAGCGAAAAGTGGTCACTTAGGCCCGTATCGTCAGTCGTCCCTACAATTGTAGGGCGCGTTTATGGCCTCCTTGATTATCATACTTCTTTCTCTCCTTCAAAAATTTCTAGATTACACTTGTCCCGTGTCAGCGTCAGCGCTCTCCTATTGTAGGAAATTTCAGGCTGATAAAACATGATATAACTCAAAAGCAAGCACAATTTGATGCAAATATATGTTTGTGACATAACCTCAAAATAGAGTTCTGACACGGAGAAGTAGAAAACTATAAAGGCGCCCTACAATTGTAGGGACGACTGACGATACGGGCCTTAGCAGTGGAGAGCTACTAGATCGGTTTGACGTTATACGATTAAATATCAGGAGGCTCGGACTTTATTTGAGAAATTATTAAATGGATATTATATATATTTTTTATTATTTATTTTGGGGGTGCACGTGCTCATATGCTCCTACAGTGGAACTGGAAATAAACGTTTTTTTTGTTCTGTAGTTTTTTATCTATAAACGGTGGATATGTCTACAAAACCAGTGGCGTGCACAGGAAAGGTTTAATGAATGGTAAGCTTCTATGCCACTGATCGAGGATAAGACACGCATTTTATTCTATTAATGTTGTAATGAGGTGCCATAGCTTTCCTCACATGCAATATAGTGTTTTTAATATCAAGCGTCACAGAGTTCCTGAATAGTGGAGGCTGAACCTTTTCATAAGGATATTTTAGGCTTTTACTTCAAATATCAAACCCAAATATGCCCTAAACGCTGGGTTTGAGAAAAATGCCTTAAGAGACAAAATTTATGGAAAATGGATGCGATGTAATAAAATGTACTTTTTTCTCCAAAAAGGCCAGTGGCATATAAAATATTTCCTATTAGGGTCCCAGGTACCCCAGTTTCTAGTCCTTAGTTTAGTTTGGGCCGAGAAATTGTGTTTATTGCTGATGATGTACTCACTGGATGTCTAAAATCCTAGCCTCGTTAGGAGAGCATCTTTGGATCCATATTTGTTGGACGTTCTTGTGTTATTTTTGGATGTACTTTCTACCCTAGTACTATTGGCACGTCGTTCTGAAACACCCTGTATAAGGCAGTTCATTGACTCAATGACGTTCCAGCTTCTAGTGACTACGGCTTTGACAACCCGATGAAGTAAGGACCTCATACTGAAAGGCACTGGATTAACATTAAAACTGTTATGATTGATATCGCCTTGACCACGTATTTTTAATCTTAGTATCAATTTAATATGCAACTTGAGTGGGAATACTGTCAGACTGTGTGCTATGGTAGGATGTGTAAAAAATGATTACTTGTACTTTTGACAATTGATTAAAATCAGTACATTCATGTTAGTACATAGAATTTGTCCATACGACCAATGACTTTCAATTCAAGTATTTCTACTCCTAACTATATTTGATTCTATCCATGTGTGTACTCGTTACTCGAGTAGTGATTTTAATACAAACAATGTAGTACGTATTTCTTATTTACCTTTCCCAAATGTCGTTAGGATATTGCGTTTGTCCTATATTTCCAAAATAGCTCGGTCCTTGGGTGCTATAGGGTGGATTGTAATGCCTGTTGTTTTGTGATGGAAAATTATTGTACTTGAAATTGGATGGATGACCCCTAAATTAAAATATAAAGGTATAGTTAAATCTACTTAATGTAGGTATACTTGTGTTGTTTGGCTCCCGGTCAATATTAGAGTTTTGGTCTAATCTTGAAGTGACTATCATACCTTGTCAAAGTCGGTTGCTCATGAAAAACAGACTCTTACTCTCTTGTAATTGTGCCACAAAGTCTGATTTCGATCCTATCCAATGTACCATCTGAAACTTTTATAATTTGGTTGCTTCTCTTGTTCATTGCGTTTTTGTTCATTAATTAGTTCAGTAACTTATAATACAAATTAGAGACAATTAGATTTGAGCAATGGACTTGCTGTTAACGTTTATCACTCACTAGTAATTCAGATCTTAACCGGAACCGTTGAGTAGAGGTTACTCTGCGGGTTGACTGAATAGTCCACACACTCCAAGGATCAACCGCGCTACGCAAGCCTACGGCATATAGGGTGGTTCCTACTGAATGCGTCAAAATACTAAAATTCACTTTTGAAAACTTTTACTAAGTTTAGTTATACGATGTACCTTTCTTGAGAAAAATAGAACCAATTGTCTTCTCGTTTACTTTCAATTAGGGCTTCTAACTTTTGAAAAAACTGATCACGACTTACTGCGGTAGCCATTGATCACAAATAATAAAATGCCTATTATCAAATTAACTTGGCAAGCTTGCAGTCACCCGCTCTTAAACCTTGCGTAAGACTGATGCGAAGGCAACATGGCACCACGCTACCGGCGAAAAGCGAGTTACAACAGGACATTTTCGACATTCACCGCGACACATGTATTTGTTAACATACACCGGTGATTGTCCGAAACCATAATATTTATAAATGTTCGGTCTTTCATCACAGTATCATACAGGATTTGTCCGGAAAGTTGGAGGACTCATTTTCTTCCGCCATGACTGTACTTCGGAGGGTGCGCGCACCGACTGGATTCGGTAGACGGCGTTCCTAGCTAACGAATGAGAGGCTGGTCAGTTGTCTCCGAGTACTTGGAGAGTCAGGACAGGCATTTTCGCGCGACGTGTTTCTGTGAGTGGTGCAAGCCGAAAATGCAGCGTTCGTTAGAGCAGAGGTACGCGATTAAATTCTGTGTTAGAGACAATTCTGTTTGATATGATCAAGCAGGCTTACCCAGGTGTTGCTTTAGCAAGAAGTGGTGTTTTCCGGTGGCACCAGGCCTTTTTGGAGGGCCGGGAAGACGTCGCTGATGAAGACCGTGCTGGGAGACCTTCGACTTCGACAAACACCGATAATGTGACTCGTGTGCGCAAAGTTTTGAACTCAGACCGTCGACTAAGTATTCGTTTAATTGCCTAGATGTTAAATTTACCAAAATCTGGGTCTGACAAGACATCGCAGCCGACTGGAAGTTGCACCACGACAACGCCCCGGCTCACACCGCCTTTCTGGTGAACAGCTACCTGACCAAGGCCGGCATCCCAACGCTTCCGCAGCCGCCCTACAGCCCAGATGTGGACCCCCCGGATTTTTTTTGTTTCCTCGCCTGAAAAGGCCGATGAAACGCAAGCATTTTGAGACAACAGAGGGGATCTAAGCAGCATGCACTGCGGTTCTCAAGGCTATTCCGGAAAATGCATGGAACTCGCGCTGGCAGCGCTGCATCGACGCAGAAGGAGCCTATTTCGAAAGTTTTTAAAGAATTGTAACGATTGGCTCAATACATTTTTTTAAATCGACTCAGTCCTGTTACTTTCCGGACAAACCCTCTGTACACTGGTTGGAGTTTTAGAGGAAACAAAAATTTTTTACCCAACTTAAGAACACGTTGTATCATAATTTCAGGCTGTATCCTTTTGAACTTACATTGTCAAGGCAATAATCATATCTAAAATGAATATAGCACAATAATTTACAAATATTAGTCAGTATCATACTCTTCAGATAGGCGTCTTCTAGTCGTTCGCGAATATTGCTTGCAGATAATATTTCCATCATTGTACAAGTATATGAGGGAGCATACTTAAGGCATATTTTGCATGATACAGAGCGGCTCATTTTCAAATTGCATACTGAAGTTCATGAATAACCAACTTGTAACAGATTTAGATAAACGCAACCAGACAAGCTCACTAGGATATCCCCCTTCCTGATGTGTTTTGCATCCCGTAGTGGCAATGAAAGTGTTCGCCAAAGCTGCAATACTACTTCTGTTCGATAAAGCTACCCTCATACTCATGGGCGCCAGCACTTTTCATGCGGGCATTCTGAATGTCAAACCGAGCTGTGGAGAGTTGGGGTGGAGGAGACTGGTATCGACACAATAGTGACGTAAGACGTCCGTTAGAATGTGGATCAGCAGTTTTACCGAACGGAAATAGTATTGGAGTTGGACCTCGGCAAACACTCGCGTTACCACTATGAGATGCAAAGCACCTCAGAAAGGTCATAGGACAACTTTATATCATAAGGTCACCTTCTGGTTACGTTTATCTAAACGTTAAGTTCCTTATCCATCACTTTCAGTATGAAATTTGTAAATGAATGACCCTGTATAATGCAAACTATACGTATATCATGCTCCCACACATGCAATGAAGGAAACACTATCGAGTAATATTCGACCCTAGAACGACTAGGAGGCATCTATCTGAAGAGTATAATACTGATTAAAATATGTGCATTCTGCTACAAAAGGGGTAGAGCGGGAAATTATTATACAGTTCTCAAATTAAGTCAAAAGTTTTCATTTTCTTCGCCACTGTAGATAAACGGAGGAAATGACGATATACAAAAATGTGAACATAAGGCAGAAAGGCAATACATTTCTGTAGAAATTAATGAAAAACTGTTTGACTTCGTACATGAATTAAAAAACTTATGAAAGGAGAAGCAAAATTAGTAAAATCTTCATTAGCATCTAAGACTTTAACTACTGTATACAGGGTGTTTCTTACATGAACCGACAAAAAAATATGGGTAATTGGAGACGCTATTTGATGATTTTTGATGGAAACCGTAATACTCTAAGGGCTACGGTTTTAGAGATATGATTTTTTCGTTTTTTTTTGATGAATTACCTACAATGGCGCAGAACTATCGTGATAACTTTTTTGTTTGTAGAGATAATAACACAAGATAAATTCGAGTCCCCGTTCCATTCCACACAAAACAATAACGTACTTTGATGGCGAAAACGAACATGAGACCGAAAAATTCACATTATCGTATGGACGCTAGATGAGGCAAAGAAGGATCTATAGATCGTGTCTTGAGACTGTCTCCAGACTACCTGTAGACAAATTGCGCAACGGGGTCTACTAATGGGGATCTACTAAGCTTAAGGATTAAGACTCTGCACTACCCATTAACCAAATCAAGTAATTAGTGCAAATACTGACACAATCAAGCACTTCTATTGTATCAGCAGGTGATAAAAATATCAATAGGTATAGTCAAATATTTTTTGAAATTCAATATAGATGATACAGTTATTCTTCAGACTTTCGTTGTCGAAAATATATTTACGGCATAGTTGTTGTTTTCTCAGTTTTCGAATCGGTGTTGATCGCATGTAAAAATGTTGCAAATCTTTGGAAAAAAACTATATCTGTTAGATCGTAATTATTTTGTTAATTTATGTTTATACGAAACAAGTACAGGATTACAGGGCTGTACATATTCACGTGTAGTACACAAGCTCTGTGATTTAAACGAATTCAATATAGCAACATAAATAGAAACATACGCGGGATCATCGATCGACGCTCTTTCTGGACAGGCTACAGGCGCACCGCTAAACAAATCTCATAAGTGTCTAATTCCAATTCCGTTCATCTAACTTATACTCTAATCATATTAGCAAATTACCCTGAAATAATTGTAAAGTTCGGTTTTATTGATGGAAGTAGTTCAAGGAGGTATTTTAAACATGGACGCATAAAATGGGTACACCAATTTTTGTGGGAAAACTTTATTTGACAACAAAGAATGAGAAATCGTGTTTTTTTGGGATCCAATCCAAAGTGTTGACATGAACGAAAAAACTTTCCATATAATATTTTTAGGTATTTATGAGACCTACAAAATGAGACCACACGTAAAAAGATCCGACTAATAGCAAAAATGTTATGGCCGAAAAACGAGGCAAAATGCAGGCTTTGGCACTTGTTGGTAATGCGTCGATAATTTCACGCAACTAGTTGAAATTCTTCGAATCCGTAGGATTCATGCTTCTAAATAACAACAGCAAAATTGGAGTATATTGGTAAAGTAATTTTTGAAAATTTCTAATGATTTAACCCAAAACAATTGTTTTCCGGCCATCACTACTAGTTTATTGAGAAATATACAGAGTTACTTCAAAGTTTAATAGCAAAATACACGTGTTTACCTTGCCGATATGAATCACAAACCATTCCGGAAGACACATGTTATTTTTATGCGGAAAACGAAGGTTACGTTTTTTTCTTCTAAGCAAATTCAAACATTTCGTATTTGTGAGTAATGGAACAAATTAATGCGCTACGATATTCGAAATCTATACGTTACTATATACATTTTAAAACAAAGCGGATGTCTAACATCTTTTGTTGCGAACTACTCACAAATACGATATGTTTGAATTTGTTTAGAAGAAAAAACGTAACCCATCCTTTTTGCATAAAAATAACATTTATTTTCCGGAATGGTTTGCGATTCATATCGGCAAGGTTAACTAGTGTATTTTGCTATAAAATGCCTTTTGAACTAACCCTGTATATTGCTCAATAAACTAGTAGTGATGGCCGGAAATCCTTTCGATTGAATCCCATAAAATAAGTTTTCTCATTCTTTGTTGTCGAATAAAAAGTTTTCCCACAAAAACTGGTGTATCAATTTTATGCGTCCATGTTTTGAATACCCCCTTGAACTACTTGCAGCAATAGAACCAGACTTTACAATTATTTCGCATTTTCGTATTTTCATCTAATATGATTAGACAAATAGTGCTTCGCTGCAACACCAACCCCGAACAAAATCAGTCAAGCTTTACGTACTTTTCAAATTACTTTTGAGCAACAAACAGAACATAAATCACTTTTTAAGTGCATTATACAAGCTAATATATTGCACAGACTTAGATTTGTCACAGGTCACAATACTCGAATATACGTATAAATCGTAAGAATTGTGCTGTAATCGTAAGTATTTCGAAGAGGGACATCGTTTGGAATACCAAAGGATACCAAAAAATCGCAATGTTCAGTTCCTATAGCTATAACTTATAGTTAGTATGCATCTGTCGCCATGATGTGTCAGAAAGCAACACAATGGTGTTAGATTACAAAAGCAAATATTAGACGTCAAGGGGGAGCGCGCGCCCCCCTCTAAATCCGCCACTGGTGGCGAATGCCTCAACGTTCGCCACATGGCACGTTTTGGCTCTTGTCGGTAAATTTGACCATCGTCAGAGGACGTTACAAGGTTACAACGTTGAAAGCATGGTATGTAAGTCTTTATATACCTGTTTATATACCTACCTGCTATGTAAATATTTGCCTATGTCAAACGTTGGAATTCTGTAATTTTTCCATTTCTTAACTTTCAGTCAACATAAATTAAGCTCCCAATATAAGTATTTTTCATCCCAAATCAAAAAAATAAGAAGATAGTAAAATCCATTTATTGTGATATAAAAACATTATTATTAGGGGAAGGTCGGGTAAAGTGACCCAGGCAGGTAAAGTGGCCACCTTCATTTTAAAAACGAACCATTAAGCGCCATCTATTACGGGATATGGGAATAATATCATTGGTTGACGCCATATTGCTTCCGTGACCATCAACTGGATCAGTGCTTGTCTTAGGATTTTATTGTGAAAAAATATATTTTAGTGGTCTTTGATCTAAGGTGAGTGGTTTAAACATAGTAAAAATATATTGTCATCAGATTCACAGAGAAACAATGTACGATTTTATTGGTTTAGTGTATGAAATGAGCAATTCATTCCACCGCAAAGTAGGTCAATATAACCTCATTTGTTATTTGAATTATTTTTTCTTCGCCGCATGCCAATACGGGTAAAGTGGCCTACCAAATCGGTAAGGTAAAGTGACCCGGTAGGCCACTTTATCTTTTTAGTGTTTTTTCCTGCAACCATATAATGGTTTGTGTTATTTTAGATATGCCAACTAGATATACACGGACGACGCAGCAGCAGACATGGGATTCGGAAGCGATGGAAAAAGCTATTAGAGCTGTACGAAATGGGGAAATGGGCTTTCTTAAAGCTAGCACAGTCTTCGGTGATCCCCGATCAACGCTTAAATGGCGTGTACAAAGAAAAAACAAACATGCTGTTGAAAATGTTAAAATACTGGGGTCACGACGTCCAATTTTTAGTCCGGTACAAGAGGCACAATTAGTACAACACATTTTGGAACTTGAGAATCGTTTCTACGGATTAACATTGCGGGATGTAAGGAAATTAGCCTTTCAACTAGCTGAACGCAACAATATAAAACACAACTTCAATAAAGACACTCAAATGGCTGGAAAAGCATGGGCTTCTGATTTTAGAAAGCGTCATCCAGAACTGACACTGAGAAGCCCAGAAGCAACTTCTCTTGCCCGAGCACAAGGTTTCAACAAAGTAAGTGTCACGAAATATTTTGACCTTCTAGAAGAAGTAAGGTCTAAAACAAACTATCCACCTCATCGCATTTTCAATGTGGATGAGTCTGGTTTCACCACTGTGCAGAGCAAGAGTTCTAAGGTACTTGCGAAAAAGGGAAAGAAGCAGGTGGGTGCCATCACCTCTGCAGAACGAGGTGTATTAAGCACCGTTGTAATTTGCATGGCCGCTGGCGGTAACTTCATTCCACCTTTTATTATCTTTCCCCGGAAGAGAATGAAGGTTGAACTTCAAGATGGGGCACCGCCAGGAACTGGTTTTGCGTGTCATTCGTCAGGGTGGATGCAGTTGGACATTTTTACGGCATGGTTTAAGCATTTTCTTAAATTTGCCAAGCCGACTGAAGATGATCCAGCACTGCTAATTTTGGATGGACACAATTCACATACCAAGAATTTGGATTTCATTGATATGGCACGAAGAAATCACACGACCGTCTTGTGTCTGCCTCCACACTGCAGTCATAGACTGCAACCTTTGGACGTGTCTTTCATGGGTCCTTTGAATAAGTATTACATCCGTGCAGTTGAGAAGTATCTTCGCAATAACCCAGGAAGAGCCTTGACTGTGTTCCAATTCAGCAAACTTTTTGGCGAAGCATACAGCGAGGCAGCACAACAATCCATTGCAATCAATGGATTTCGTAAATGTGGGGTAGAACCAATGGATCGCCACGTATTCAAAGATTATGATTTTGTGCCAGCAGACACAACAGATAACATTCTTCTTGAGCAGAAACTACAACAAAATGAAGCTAATAATGAGAATGAGACACCTGAAAGAGTAGAGTCTCCATCTATTCTACAAGTTACGCCACCAACATTGGATCAGGAAGAAAATATTAATGTAACGCTACCAGTTACTTCGCCAATATTGAACCCTTACATAGACCTACAACCCAGCACATCCTTCGCGGTAGCGCCTGAAGACTTATTTCCGATTCCCAAAGCATTGGCTAAAATTAGAAAAATAAATAGAAAGAGGGGACGTACAGCAATTTTAACGAGTAGTCCTTATAAAAATGAGTTACCGGAAGAAAAAACACAGCAACAACAAAAAAAAAGAACTGAAGAGAGTGACTAAAGCTATTTTTGAACCAACTAAAACTGGGAAAAAACTTAAAGCTGAAACCAACGTTAAAAAACGTGGTAAAAATACAAGCAATGCTAAAATTAAGAAAAGTGACGATACTGATGATGAGGCCGATGATGACCCAGAATGCTTTTACTGTGGGGAAGTTTGGTCTAAATCAAAACATGAAGATGGCTGGATACAGTGCTCTAGCTGCAAGCGATGGGCCCATGAAGCATGCTCGGGTTGTGATGACGCCGATGATGTCTTTCATTGCGAATTCTGTTCGTGAGAATATTTTCTTTTTATTGAATGTTAATGAATAATGAAGAGTTTGTTATTTGCATTTCATAGTTTAGTAATTAAAACTTTATTTAGTTTGTCATTAAATGAAGGAAAGTTACATTTATTTAATAATTTTATAAGTATAAACAATCAAAAGACTTTGAGTTATAAACAATTACCTGAACAATTGTGATAGTGTTGTTGCTTACAATAAATATTTTTTCTATGCAAAATTTGAATAAATCTTTATTTTATTATCATTTTATTTGAAGTAGGCCACTTTACCCGATTATGAATTTGTATGGGCCAATTTACCCGACCAGGATAGGTAAAGTGGTCAACATCCCATTTCGGCTTAAATATTAAATTACGCTTAAATTATCAGAACAATCGTTTAAAAGCTATGTAATATCGAAACTATATTAGCTAGTGGGAAAATATAATGAATTTGATTTGAAAAAGGTTCACATTTATTTGTTTGGCATGCGTTCAAGGCTTAGGGTGACCACTTTACCCGACCTTCCCCTATCGTTCTAAATAAATGCCGCACGCCTATGATACGTCATGAAATTACAAAGGACGCGCCGACCAAAGGTTTTTATGCTATTTCAAGTGACTTCAGATACACCATACATTATAGGTATTTATATATCATCCTCGCCTTCGGAGCTGTCGCTAGAGTCATCTTGTAGAGGAATTACAACGGGATTTACAGGAGGCAAAACACAATATTCATTTTCTTTTTCAATAATATGCCTAGAACACTGCTTCCATAGGTCTGTGGCAGCAATATGAGATACTGCATCTCTTATTGTGGCCAATAGCGATTCACTTAATTGAGGGGTCTGATTATGTTTTCTTACTTTTTTTTAAAGCAGCCCAGACCAACTCAATCGGGTTAAAATTGTCAACAACATACTCTTTTTCAAATTTTTGTCTTTTAATAAGATCCAATAATATGGCTTTGGTTAATTTTTGTGGTATTTCCATTCAATAATGTCTTGTTTTTTTGTGCCTGTATTCGGAATTTTGTTTTTCTGTCGGGAATGGTATGGCGCATTGTCCATAATAATCACTGAATTTGGGGAAATGTTTGGTATTAACTGCTGCTCTATCCACTTTTCAAATAAGTTGGAGGTCATGTCCTCATGATAGTCGGCACATGATTCTTTGATATTTTTGGCAGATAACAGCAAGGCATTAATATATAAATCCATTTTCACTGCCAGCATGTAGAATAATGATTCGTTTTCCACGGTTGCATGGTGCATTTAAAATGCACTTGTTGCTGTCGTCAACCCAGCCGTACTGCACAACATCATGGGTATCATACCACGTTTCATCCAGGTAAATCAGATTTCTTTTCTGCTCTCTATAGATTTTAACTTTGTGCAAAAATTCTTGGCGCAATTCAACGATTCGAGACGACTCCATAATCACCATTCTTTTATCTAATTTTTTGTATTGAAAACCACACAGTTTTACAATACAGTGCAGTGAGTCTAAGCATTTGTAATTATAAAAATCTTCAGGATAATCTTTTAATTTATCCCGTATCATTTCCAACGTGGACACCAAATTTTCTTTATAAAATCCGTATATTATACGACGAATATCTTCCTGAAAACCCACGTCTATTCTTTTTAATTTTTGCCCTATGCGCTTTCTGTGAAAGGAATGGTTGACTACATCTCCCCTTTTTATAACCCGATACATGGTAGACCGACTGATTTTTGTCAGGATACAAATTCTGTTTAAAATTTGATTTTGCGAGGAATCTGGATTTTCGTTTTTCAGACAATCAACATATTTAGGATTACTCTTTGGGTCTGTTCCTCTAAATCTTTATGAAAGAATTCTGCCTGCACAGGTTCATCAACCATCTCCTCGTGGCTTGGAGCATTTTCCCAAGGTCTCCAAAGAGCCATATTTAGGACACACAAGAACAATCAACAAGTAAACTGAGTATTCAAAAGTCAAAAACACACAAACTAATAAAATCTATGAAAAAACACGGACAGACTAAAGAAAACACGTTTATTCACCGCTACACGGCACTGGCTAAACTGTTTCAATTTTCAGTAGCCACCTGCACTTGTTCCGAGCTCTGAAATACACGCTTTCTCATTGGCTATGTCCACGCATAGGCTTGCTTTACTCCATGTGGACCGGTGAAACTGCCTTTGATCTCTTATACGGGGGATATTTGCTGCGAAATTTGGCGATTTTTGCAGCAACAGAGCGTGTTAAATATAGATATATAAAACGCACCCGATATTTCACAGTGTTTCAAGTGACTTCAGATAAAGTATACGTTAGGCTTACACACGAGATGTCATGTGTTTGATGGTTTTAGGTTAGGACCAGTAGCGGCGAAAAACATTATTTATTTACTTGTTTGCTGTGATTGTGGTGAAGTAGTGGTATGTGGGAAGTATTTTTATTTGAATACCTACCTATTCACAATAATGTATGTTCCGTAACTATTGAGGAGAATGAATTAAATTAGTATACATACAAAGCATAGGCTGCCATAACAACACTTTTTTCATATTGCTAATATTTTGTACGTTTCGCGGGTGAGTTATGGCTGACCTAAGGATATGCACTTTAGTTAGGTAATTATAAATTATCAAGTGCTTAACAGTCGTATCATTATAATGTCCTGTTGCAATGCAAGACTAGTTGAGAAATATATTGACTTGCATTTCATAACAAACGAAAACGATTAAATAAATGATAACTCTGAAAATACTATCAGGATTGTGATGAAATTTTGACCCTAGGTTACTACTATGAAAATGACGAAAAAGCTCTGCAGTTTTTGAAAATAGGTACAGTGCTGGCGGAGTTATCATCGAAAAACTAACAAAAAACGGTCAAACTTCGTTTTTCGACATTTCTGAGGCTTCTGACAGACTTTTGGTCGCTGAAGACAGATCAGAAACTATTTTTCGGTGCTCGAAAAAATTGTTTCATCGTTCATTTTGTATAATTTTCGCTTCAGTTGTAAAGGTTCAAGCTTGATACTGACACCGATAGTAGACGTTGGCGCCACCATGCGTCGGACGTCCGAGACAAAAAAATTCATCCTATCGTGTAGGAGACACACTTGCCAATTTCGAGGTGTCGAACGTTGTACCTACACAACGTTGAAAAGAACGTTGTACACAACGTTGTATGCAACGTTGAAAGCATCGTGTTGGACGCGCATAAGAGCCGTATCGTCAGTCGTTCCTACAATTGTAGGACGCCTTTATGGCCTCCTTGATTGTCATAGTATTTTTTCTCCTTCAGAAATTCCCGTTCCGTGTCAGCATCAGCGCTGCCCTATTGCGAAGTTATGTTTTCTTTTTGAATTGCAGGAAATTTCAGGTTGGTAGAACAGATGATATAAATCGAAAGCACGAACAATTTGATGAAAATTGATATTTGTGACATAACCTCAAAATAGAGTGCTGACACGGAAAAGTAGAAAATTATGACAATCAAGGCGGCCGTAAAGGCGTCCTACAATTTTAGCCTTTATGTCTTACTTGATTTTCATGGTTTTTCTTGTCTTTCAGATAGGTGCTCTATTTTGAGGTTATAATACAAATATCCATTCAAATTGTTCATGCTTCCGGTTTTTATCATCTGTTTTATCAGCCTGAAATTTCCGACAATTTATTAAAAAGAAAACATAACTATAAGAGCGATGACGCTGACACGGAACAGTAGAAATCTCTTAAGGAGAGGAAAGACAATTGTTGGAACGACTGACGATACGGCCCTAAGGTCTAGCAATGTCAATGTATGACATACTATACATTTTTGGAATCACAATTAAAAACCCTATACACCTCTGCAAACATCCAATATGGCGTCCATAACAAGAAATAAGGTTAGTGATTGAGCAAAAAAGACGAAACGTCATATTGAAATTCTCTTTATGCCACCTTGTAGAGGAGAAAACCTTTTTGGAGAATTCGTTTTATTTGTCTCCTTAAATTACCTGCCAACCTAACTAAGAGCCATTTTATTATTCATTTGAAACCGCAACTTTGCCCTTTTTTAACCGACTTCGTATCTCTTATCATTTCAGAATTCCAGTGGTGAGGGTCGAATTTGAAACACGTGCTATACCCACTTATAGAATGTTTCGCCCGTTTTTTAAACAAACGAAACTTAAACTTACTGAAAATAAAAATTAATTTAAGCTGCTTAGTTGAGTTAGGCGTGTCTAGTGTATATCTGATAATAACTAATAATATTTACGTTTATATCCTCATGAATATTGGCTAATAAGTGCTCAAAGTGAAACGTAACGATTATATTGTACCATTACCCTTGATCCTGAGAAGCGGTATAGTTGTAATGCCCTTTAGGTGGTATGTAACCACCAGGATGATCGTGGAACGGATATTGAGGTTTAGGAATATAAATGGGCTCAGGATAGTAATTGTCCTGGGGTAGGAAGTTGGAAGGTCCGAAGGGTTGGTGGTGGTGGTAATTGGGGGGACCATACACAGGAGGAGGAGAAGGGGTTATGTAGGAAGCGAAATCTTCTCTCGATTCGTCCATCAGGATGGTGTGGTGGTCGTATCGCCATTTTTCCAGGAGGTAGTGGATAAGTTCGCTGGAAAGATAATCCAAAATGTAATACAGTAATTAACTTTTGCGACCATCAATGTTACTCGTCTTGTATAAGATATAACATTTTATTTACAGGGTGAATGTGAATAGGACAGTTTAGACGAAGGAATTTTGTGTTAGCTAATGTGGTGTGTGGGATTTTAATCAAAAAGGTGCTATCTTGCCTGTACCCGGACTGAAGGTGCTACTAGTCGGCCGGCCAGTTGCTAATTGTCGGACAGGCATTTGCTTGGCTAGCTTCAGACAGAGCTGAATTTAACTATATGTGATATAATTGAGAGATTAAACGAACTTACATAAGTGAAGTTTAATCCTAATTATATGAGCCTCGCCGGAATAAATAAGGATAAGTGTAGTAACTCTGCTTGCAGTCAAATCTCACTCAGTTCAAAGCAAATTTTCTCACCCTGGATACAGTCCTGTCCCTTATCGCCACTCCGTCGAACGCTCATACCTGTTCAAAGCTTTGTTGCAACATATTGGGGAGGGTAGAGTAAAGGGCGGGAGCTTATTTACTCGGGCGAGGCTCATATAATTAGGATTAAACTTCACTTAGGTAAGTTCGTTTAATCTCTCAATTATATTGCGCCTCGCCTTCATAAATAAGGATAAGTGTAGTAGTTCAAGGTAAGTTGCAACAATTTGTTTAGTATCATCAAGTTACATATGCGTAATTATATACATATTAGTAACTGAAAACTTAACAGTAATTTCCACTATTTCTCTATAGTGAACAAGAACAACTATTTCTAATTTCTTTAACATTAGGCACAACTGAACACTGGTTCCGCAAAGTCAGACTTACTAGAAACTAATGGTTTTTGATAAAATCTTGCGAATGTTTTAGATTTTTCCGTCCACCCCGCGGCCAACCGGATGCTATCATAGCTTATCCCTTTCCTGGAGGCGGCAGAAGTAGCTGAATGTCTAGTGCTCTGACCACAAAAAGAACTTATGTCTATACAACTCTTTAATAACATAGTTTTTAACCATCTGCTGATGGTTTGAGCAGAGGCTATTCGATGCGGCCTTTTAAAACATAGAAACAAACTCAGTTCGTTACCTCGAATAGCCTTTGTTTTTTCCAGATATAACAGTAAAGTTTTTGCTGGGCAAATATTCACATTATCCGAAAAAAATGGCAAAACTAATGTGGGCTGCAGTTGTGAACGCCAGATGTCTTTATCCTTTTAGATATGCGGATTTCTAACCAATCTGAGAAATTTTGAATATTACACACTTCCATACTAGCTAATGTTTGGACGCGTTGGCCTGTTGCTAAGGCGAGGAGCATGGCCGTCTTGAGAGTTAACTGTTCTAAAGTAGGATTCGTAGAATATTAATTTTTTATATAGTTCAAAACTATGCCTGGATCCCAGGTGTTGTTATACTTAGGGAGCGGAGGCCTTAAGCAACTCAGTCCTTTGAAAAATCTTTTAATTCCGAAATCTTCACTAAGATTTGGCCCTAGAATCTGTGAAAGTGCTGCTCTATATGAATTCAGAGAACTAAAAGAAGACCCCTTAGTGAAATAAAATGTTAGAAATTTAAGTACTGCAGAAACCGACTGGGTGTAAATATTTATTTTTTCCCGATTGCAATATTCCAACCAAAGCCTCAAGCCCACGTTGTTCTGCTTAATTGTGTTATCTGTAACTGATGCAAGACATACTAAGTGACATATAAATCCGAATACCCAGTTTAAATGGTTTTATTTTGATAAAAGTTGGTGAATGTATTTATCTTACTGTAAATAACAAGTGAAAAATTTTTCAGCCTTATCAGTTGGACATTCCGGTTTTTATACTGCTTTTTTTTAATTCACTAACGCTCTAAAAATGAATATTTCAGCCGCAGTAAAGAATCAACGTTGGCGGATTTTGGTTCTTGACATCCTTTACGATCGGTTACGATGCCTAGAGTACGGAGACCTGTACGATTTCGTCAACTTAGTTGAGTTTGATAGGGGCCGTATAGTGGGACTTCGGGAAGCTGGACTTTCTTTTCGGGCAATTGCAGTTAGAGTGCAAAGAAGTGTAGACACTGTGGTTAGGTGTTGTCAGGCATGGCTTCGAGAAGGCCGTACGCAAAGAGCAAGGGGCACTGGACGCCGCCGTAGAACAACAGACCGTGAAGATCGCCGCCTAAGATTATTGGCCTTAAGGGACCGTTTCTCCACTACCAGGTCCATTGCAAATGAAGTGTTTGCAGAACACGGAAGACCTATTGGCATGCGAAGTGTTTACCGACGAATGAGAAGTTTTGGCTTGTTTTCATACCGGCCACACTGGGTCCTCCCTTTAACTCGAGAACACCGACGTAATCGCCTTGAGTGGTGCAGACAACGGTCACTCTGGGATCAGGAATGGAGCAGTATTGTCTTTAGTGACAAGTCTCGATTTTGTTTCGGCATGCACGATGGTCGTGCCAGGGCCAGGCCACGTGGTGAAAGGAGGAATCCACAGTTTTTTGTTGAAAGACATGTTCATCACACTGTTGGAGTTATGGTTTGGGGTGCTATAGCTTATGGTTCCAGGTCACCTTTAATCTTCATCAGGGGTAACATGAACGCGCAGCGTTATATCCACGAAGTTCTAGAACCCCATCTTTTACCATACCTTGACACCCTGGCAGATCCAACTTTCCAACAAGATAATGCCCGACCACATGTTGCAAGAGTCACAATAGACTTCTTTCAACATAATGATGTCACATTGTTACCATGGCCATCAAGATCTCCCGGACTTATCCACAATTGAGCACGTGTGGGATATGATGGGTAGGAGATTGCTCAATTTGCAACGTCCTCCTCAGACTCTAGAAGCACTTCGAGAGGAGTTGGTGGTTGCCTGGAATGAGATACCACAGGAGGACACTGACCACCTGATCAGAAGCATGCCTAGGCGCGTTGGAGAATGCGTAGCACATCAGGGTGCATCCACACATTATTAAAGGTCAAAGGGCTTTAAAGCAGTGCAATCATTTTGAAATTTTTATCATTTACTTATTATGCTTCATTAAGTACTTATACAAAATTTTATTAAAATAAAACCATTTAAACTGGGTGTTCGGATTTATATGTCACTTAGTATATTTAGCGATTCCGAGGGAACGTCCCCCAACATCAACGCCTACCTGATACAATTCCTGCCACCAGGGTAGTCTTTCTCCAAAGGGGGTGTGGTGACCTGTTGAAAGACATTAACATCTTGGATGGCCGAAATTTTATTGGATTCCATTCTAAAAGGGATGTAAACACAGGATACCATGGTTGAGATGTCCATAGGGGACGACAAGAATGCCCCTTGCTCCATCGAGAATGATTTTATTCAATACCCGCAAAATTAGTGAAAATGGCGGAAATGCATAAAAATAGAGCTTTCCCCAAATCAACATGAAAGCATCAATTGTCATACTCTCGGGGTCTCTCTACCATGAAGCAAAGTTTTTGCATTTTGCATTAATTCTATTCGCAAACACGGCAATTTCAGGCTTGCCAAACTGTGAACTATGTTTTCGAATGTAGATACGTCCAGGGACCACTCCGTCTCGGTTTCCAAACTACGAGATTCCAAATCTGCTTCCTTATTATCGGCTGATTTTATGTATGCCGTATAGAGGAATAAGTTTCTTGTTTCACACCATTGCCAAATGGTGCGCGCCAGACTATTAAGTTTTGAAAATCGCACACTACCCATTTTATTAATGTAGGCCAAGGCTGTGGTGTTATCCACCTGACACAGGATGTTACAATTAGATAGGTTAGCTGCAAAACATTTTAGCCCAAAGAAAACTGCCAACAGTTCTCGATAGTTTATGTGATGTAGTTTTTCAATGTCCGACCAGAACCCGTGCGACTTTTTCCCAAAGCAGCTAATACCCCAGCCAGTGTCTGATGCATCGGAAAAAATTTCTATAACAAACGAATCAACTTGAATGAAGTTTTTTTTTGCCTGTGACAAGTTATTAAACCACCAGTTAAAATCGTGAATAAGTGTTGGGGAAAGTCGCATGATTGCATCAAAATTCCCTCTCCACTTGAGTAATGCTAAGTGTTTTCCCGTTCGAAGTTTTTTGTGTACAATCATCCGTACTTGATTCCAGGACAGATACTGACTAGTTTCCCCAACAATCTGGCAAATTCTCTAATGCTACACTTTTCCACTGATGACATTTTTTGCACTAGCTGTCTGGATTTTAAAACTTTTTCATGAGGAATACGAATAGACATATCTATCGAATTATAAATGAATCCAATATATTGAATTGACTGGGATGAGGCTAAAATGGATTTCTCGTAGTTTGGCAGGAAGCCTAATGAAAGTAAGAGGTTTAGGGTCTCCTTAAGATTAGAGAGACACTCTTCATGAGTGTTACCAAACAAAAGAATATCATCCAAGTAAATAACAGATAAAAACCCTTTTGCTCTAAGAAAAGTAATAACGGGTTTCATTAATTTTGTAAAAATGTAAGGTGCTATGTTTAGCCCAAAGGGCATACACCTAAATTCATATAGCTGCCCACAAAATTTGAATCTTAAGCATTTCCTATATTTTTTGTGCACTGATATTAGAAAATACGGATCTTTTAAGTCCACCTTACACATGAAACAGTTCCTGCAGACTAAATTCTTTACGGTGCGACTATCTTCCATCTTAAAATGGCTGCAATGTATATGTCTGTTGACATTTTTCAGATTCAGAATGAGACGATTAGAGCCATCGTGTTTTTGCCTGAGAAAAATTTTAGAAATGTACTGTTTATCACTCGCCGAAGCCATGGTAATGGCTCCTGTTAGTAGTAATTTAACTATGCAAACTTGGATAGAAGCTTGATCCTGAAGTGACCATGAGGTAACTGCAAAATTTTGTTGTTTGGGATAATGTCTAAAGGGTAACTTTAAACCTTTAACCCAACTAAGGACTAATTTATCCTGACAAACCTTAAGCCAATTGGGGTAAAAATGTTTAAGCCTACCAGCGA